AGTGGTCCAGGGACATGCTTGAGGGAAGACAATCTGCTGCTGTGCAGCCTCAGACAAGCCGTCCACCCTCTCTGGGTTGGGCCTGGTCATGCACTGCAGGGTCGGTAACAAGGGAAACAAAATGAGGATGATGCGAAGGCCGAGAGACGAATTAGAAGACGAATGGACTCAGGGCTCAGGGGGGATGTCGAGGCCTGGCCAGGAGGATGGGCCCCTGCAGGCCCGGTGGCTCCCCGCGGGGACCTGGCTGGGCGTCTCCCCAGCACCCCTGAGCAGGGTCCAGGTCACACGTGGCCTTGGGGGTTGCCCTGTGTCGTGGGGAGGGTCCGTGGGAGAGGCTGCGACCCACCTGCAGACAACGGCGTGCCCCCACCGCAGGCTGCATCCCCGTGGCCCTGGGTAGGGCTGGGGGGTCTTCTGGGCAGAGGGGGGCTCCGGGCTCAGGCACTGCCGCGGCTGGTTTAAGAACGGGGAGGGGGCGCCCGGGAAATCAGTCACGGACCCCTGGGCGGGAGGACCGGCCCCACCAAGCCCCCCATGTCTTCTCGCTGGGGCGCACCTGCGAGGGACACGGTGCCGTTTGGCGAGAACCAGGCTCGGTCTGGGGGCGGGGCCACGCCGGACCCAGGAAGAGGTTTCTGAGCGCAAGGACCCGAAAACCGAATTCCAAACCCGAACCGCGGTGAGTCCAGGGCTGGGTGGCCTTTCTCTGGCGGCAGGACGCCACTGCGACCGTGATGCTGGGGGGGAAATTGGAACTGCTGCCTCAGTTTCCCCAGGTCCCCACCTGAAACCAAGCCTCGCCTGCCCTTCCACAGGCCGCTTCGGGTCACGCCTTGGCCCGGCCCGGGCACCCTGAGACGCGTCCCGAGAGTCACGCTCCTCCCCTTGGGCTCTTGGGTGCTGCTTTGAGGGGAGACGCCCCTTGGGTGGGCACCAGCCCCTCCCAGCACGACTCCAGGCGGGAAAGGGGGCGCAGGAAAGCCTCTCCCTGCGGCTGCTGCAGTATCCGCACTCAGGGTGGCCTGTCCCAAGCTCCGACACTGCTGGGTGCCGTGGCCTGGGAGGGCTCCTCTGTGGGCTCCAGACCGCAGGCGGATCTGCTCCCCGGACGGGATGACGGGGAGCACCTACACCACGGGAAATGTCTTCAACACGTGGGGAGATGGGAGCACCCCGCCACTGAGAGGTGGAGCACCTCTAACAGGCAGGGAGATGCGAGCACCTCTAACGCGTGAGGAGTCAGGGAGCACCTCCAACACGTGAGGAGATGGGAGCACCTCTAACATGTGGGGAGATGGGAGCACCTCTAACACACGGGGACACGTGGGGAGATGGGAGCACCTCCAACACATGGGGAGATGGGGAGCACCTCCAACATGTGGGGAGATGGGTGCACCTCTAACATGTGGGGAATTGGGGAGCACCTCTAACACGCAGGGAAATGGGAGCATCTCTAACACACGGGGGGAGATGGGAGCACCTGTAACACGTGGGGAGATGGGAGCACCTCCAGCACGTGGGGAGATGGGAGCACCCCTAACACAGGGGGAGATGGGAGCACCTGTAACACGTGGGGAGATGGGAGCACCTGTAACACAGGGGGAGATGGGAGCACCTCTAACACATGGGGAGATGGGGAGCACCTCCAACATGTGGGGAATTGGGGAGCACCTCTAACACACAGGGAGATGGGAGCACCTCCAACACGTGGGAAGATGGGAGCACCTCCAACACGTGGGAAGATGGGAGCACCTCTAACACACGGGGAGATGGGAGCATCTCTAACACACGGGGGGAGATGGGAGCACCTGTAACACGTGGGGAGATGGGAGCACCTCCAGCACGTGGGGAGATGGGAGCACCTCTAACACAGGGGGAGATGGGAGCACCTCTAACACAGGGGGAGATGGGAGCATCTCTAACACACGGGGAGATGGGAGCACCTGTAACACGTGGGGAGATGGGAGCACCTCCAACACACGGGGAGATGGGAGCACCTGTAACATACGGGGAGATGGGAGCACCTGTAACACGTGGGGAGATGGGAGCACCTCCAACACGTGGGGAGGTGGGAGCACCTCTAACACAGGGGGAGATGGGAGCTCCTCTAATATGCGGGCGAGAGCGGGGGTACCTCGTTCCCGCGGTCCTGCCCAAGCAGACTCAGCGCACATGCGGGGAGTGTTTCATCCACATCATTTTTATTCCGGGCTGTATTTACACAGGACACGACTCACAATCACACCTGTGGACGGTGGAAACTAAGGCCATTCTGTGAGGGATTTTGGAAACTTGGTGTTTTGCACAGCATCTTTTCAGAGACAAACGACCCGCCCCGAGCCTCTCTCCCGAGACCCTAACTTGAGCCGGCACCAGCCACTCGTGTGGGGCCACGTCTCCGCTGGTGTGTCCTCGGCCACCCCGGCCGAGGGAGGGCTCGAGGACCCCGACTCTCCGTGCTCCGCAGAGAGACGCTCACCTGGAGAAACATCATGGGATTCTTGGGACAAGAAGAAAAGCCAGGAGCCCAGAACTAAGGCACTGACAGCGTGTCATTGAGAGAGAAATGTAAACAGTTACACCAGCGCCTCCCCGAGTCTGGGCGGGGCAGCCCCGAGGTGGGGGGGACCCGGAGGAGGGCGCTCGTCCGAGGGGGCGTCGGGGGAGGGCCCAGTCCCACGCCCGGCCTTCCGGAAGCCCGATGAGGAGGCTCTGCCGTGAGCTCTCCCGGCGCACGCCACGGCCTGCTTGACCTGACCACGGCCTGGCCGGCTGCATCAGAGCTGTGAGGTGGGTCACGGCCACCTCCTCGGGCCGGCCCTGGAGGAGCAGACCGGAAGTGGGAGAGTTGGGCGGTCAGTCCGGAGAAACATTGCCTGCCTTGGGGCCCCCCTGCAGAGTGGACGCGCAGACTTGGCCTTCAGAGAAGTGGGGGGGGGCCTATTGGGGCAAGGGTGGGGGGAGGGTCGACGTGGCATTTCGGCACCGATTTTCACGGGCTCCAAGTTCCAAATTGTTCTGTGTCTTTCGTTCTGATTTTTGAAAAAGGCCTGCTGCAAAAGTTATCGCCGATTTCTTTTTTTTAAATTTTATTTAATTTGTTTTGCTTTCTGGGTCATACCCGGCCATGCTCAGGGCTGACTCCTTGCTCTGCGCTCAGGAATTACCCCTGGCGGTGCTCAGGGGACCATATGGGATGCTGGGAATCGAACCCGGGTCGGACACGTGCAAGGCAAGTGCCCTCCCCGCTGTGCTATCGCTCCAGCCCCCTGTCGCTGATTTCTTATGGCAAGAGCACTGTCTGTCTCCCTTCATTTTAATGCTGAAGAATTTGGGGGGCCAGGTAACAGAAGATTTGCCTTTTATTTAAAACTCCCCCCCCCCCATCATCAAAAGAAAGACATTTTTTTTTCTTCTCTTGAAAGAGGAAGAAAAGGGGTTTCCCTCTGATAGGTGTCTGAGTTAAGAGGCTGTGGCATTAGGTGGCAGCTGAACCTTGAGGGAGCGGTGAGAAGCGGGAGGAAGAGGGGTGTGCCTGTGTACCCCTGTGGGGCAGAACAGACCCAGGCCTGAGTCATCCTGATCATCCTGATTGATAAAAAGCGTCTGTGTTTCCAAATCTAACAAAAAGCAGTTTGAAGATCCGAGGAGAAAGGAAAGGATTAGAAAGGAAGAGAAGGGCAAAAAAAAAAAAAAGAAAGAAAGAAAAAAAAAGAACCCCCCCCCCTCAGTTAAAAACTAGAAGTGAAAAGGTCACTGGCCTCCCCCTGGCCTTGCTAAGAGCCACGGCCTCGCCCTGCCAGACCCCCGGGGCGGGGGGTGAGGGTGGGGAGGCGGTGTGCCCGGCTCCCGCAGGGGGACACGGAGCACAGGCTTCTGTGCCGGGCAGGCCGGAGATTCTGTGGGCGGATGCAGTTCCCACGGACCCCAGACTACAGTAAGCAGCTCGGGGCACGGGGGTTCCCGTGGGTTTGAATCTCTCTGCTCAGAGACGAAGCCTGGGGCGGGGTGCCTTGCTCTTTGCACGATGGGTGCGTGTTTCTGTGCGATTTGGGCTTCGAGGGAAACGTTGCGAAGGTTCCCGGGAGCAAACCGTTGCAGCTCACGGGCCGCGGCGTGAATGGCAGGAGGGTGTCCACCCATCTGCAGGCGCAGGGAAGAGTCTCTCTCTTTCTCTCTCTCTCGGGGGAGGGTCTCAAATAAATATTTCCAAAAATGGGACTGAAGAATTCAGCTTGGGGCCAGGGAACGTTCTACACTTTCCTGGGGCCCAGGAAGTGCCTCGGTCCATTCGGAACCGGTACACTCGAGGGGGGGAGAGCCGGGGTGGGGGAGGTCACGTTCTGCACGAGGAAGGGCGAGGCGAGGCCTCGGCCACGGGTCCACCAGTCCTCCAACCCTGCCAAGGTGCCCATGCGGGGCACCCCAGGGTGCTCCCAGAGAACCACCTGCAGGCTCCCAGGGGAAGAAAGGGCACGGGTGGTCTTCCGAGGGATCAACTGGGGGGCCAGAGCACAAGGCCCACCCAAAGCAGGGTCCTCATCCTCACTGGCTATCTGAGGGCGGAGTCCTGGGCTGTCCATCTCCAGGGCTGGAGGAGGGGCAGTGACTGATGGCCTGGGGGGGGTGGCGGGGCGGGCGGGTGGCGGGGGGGGGGGGGGCCCTTTGAGCCAAGGACCTTGAGCCCCGGTCACTGCTGACGACCCAGACCCAGTTAATAGCCACAGCTCTGGGCCGCGCAGGATCGAGATTCAGAAATCTACGAGAACAAAATAACCAGGAGGGGAGCAATGTGGGTCCCCCCCCCCCCCTCAAAACTACAATATCTCTCGGCCCATAATGAGGGCGGAGAGGCAGACTCGGACCCGGCGGAGCTGACTGGACGCGTCCGGGCCGTTCCTTCCCCGGGGAGCCCCCCCAGATGCAGAGCCGGCCCTGTCTCCCCCCTCCCAACATCCCCTCCTCCTCTTCCTCCCCCTGCTCCCTCTCCCCGCCCACTACTCGCTCTTCTTGGCGCCCAGGGCCGGCTGCTTGTGCAGGACGCGGTGCGAGGCCAACTCGATGACCTCCAGCCCGCCGAAGAGTCTCTCCTGCAGCACGAAGACGACGATGGCCACCAGGCAGTACCAGCGGGCGGCGCTGGACGTGTAGAGCAGCAGGCACATGGCCGGGCTGAAGAGGCTCCAGTAGACCAGCGACAGCAGCTTCACCAGCAGCACGCGCAGCTCCGACTTGCAGGGCGGGACCCCACCGCCGCCGCTGCTGCTGGTGTCGCTGCCGGTGTCGCCGGGCCCGGGGGGCCCGAAGCTGTGGGTGCCCCCCGCGTAGAAGGCCCGCAGCCGCTGCTCCTTCTCCTCCCAGCGCCGGTGGCACCAGAGCTGCAGCTCCTCCTTGGCGCGGGGCAGGGCGGCCACCGGGTAGCGGCGCACGTGGAAGTGGATCTCCCGCGGGAAGTCCCCGCGCAGCAGGTGCCGCTCCGTCTGCGGGATGTTGTGCGGGTAGGCCACGGTGATGTCGTGCACGGCGTCCAGGTTCTTGCCTGGGCGGGGAAGGCGGGGCAGAGAGTGAGTGACGGGCAGCGTGGGGTGGGGGTGGGGGGGTGGACGGGCGGCAGGGTCGACCTGCTGGTGGCCCCCCAAGCCCGTCGGGTAGGAAACGCTCTTCCCGGGACCCCCCCCCCCCCGCCCCTTCCATCCTGCTTCTCAGGAAATGGTTCACGCTGGCGGGCATCCCGGTGTGCGAGAAAGGGTTGGACCAGACACTTCCCCTGGGTATTGGGGTACCCACCTCCCCCACGAAGGTATGGTGATTCCCGGGACCCCACAGTGCCCTGAGATGATCAGCCAGCCGCCAGAACCAGCTGTCCCAGAAGTACATGGACACAACCTGCTTAAGAATTTTTTTTCTCCCATTTTTTTTTTAAATAGTTTCTGGGCCACACCGGTTGGTGCTCCGGGGTTCCTCCCGGCTCCGTGCTTGGGGAGGTCCAGTTGCATTATGGCTCTAGCCCCTGCCAGGGATGCCGGATTCCCACACCCGCAGTGGGCAGGAACGGGGGTGCTGGGATGGACTGACGGGCTGAACCCCGCGGCGACCTTGACCTCACAAGGGCAGTCTGGGAGCATCTCAGACAGGGCTGTCAATGGAAGGGGTCTGGGTGCCCATTTCAGCCCAGAGGACATTGGGGGTCGGTGACAAGGACGGTCTGGAGGGATGGGGTCAAGACAGAACAAGGATGCAGAGAACCCACGGGACATCAGGGTGCAGGCTGAGGGGACGTGCCGGGCTCCTGGCCCTGGCGGTCAGGCCTGTGGGTGGAATGTTGGGCCTTTAAGGGACCTCCGGGCCTGTATGGGAGGACCGGAGAGGTTAGGGGCTCTGCCCGCAGGCACACAGCTGAGGGCTGCGCCCCTCCACACCTTCAGCGCTGCTGGGAGTGGGATGGGAAGAGATCGGGGATGTGGACTCCAGAGAGGGTCCCGCTAAGTAAGTCAAGGTCCCCGGGGGAAGGCAGAGCCGGGGACACTTCTGCGACAGCTGCCCCCAGCCCACTGGAGCACTCTGGTCCCTTTAGCTTCAGGCAGAAAGGAACAGGAAGAGGATGCTTGCTGGGCCCCCGCCCCACGGAAGTGACGGCAGCGAAATGGATCCTGAAACACGGGGCTGCGTCTGCCGGCAGCGATCACGCGAAGAGCCAGCGCTGGGGGCAGAGCACAAGAGTCCGGGTTCCACCCCCCCCCCCCCCCCCCCCCGCACCGCCACGGCGAGATTGTCCTTAATATAGTTCTGGTGTGAAAGTAATATTAACTCTTCAATATCTGTTGGTGTGAAGAGTTCACTTTCGTTTTTTCTGTTTGTTTGTTTGGTTTTTTTGGGTCACACCCAGCGATGCTCAGGGGACCATGTGGGATGCTGGGAATCGAACCTGGGTCGGCCGTGTGCAAAGCAAATGCCCTACCCGCTGTGCTATCGCTCCAGCCCCAGGAGTTCACTTTCAAATCTACAAATAAAGGTGGTTGCCCGGTCTGGGCCGTCTGGAAGGCGCCCACTGCTCCTCAGACAGGACTCTCGGTCGGCACCTCAGTCTGTCCTGGCATCTGCTCGGGGCGGACGTTGTATTTATTTGTGGCGGCCTCAGGCTTTACAGAAAACTCGCTGGGAAAAGGAGTGGCAGCTCGACACGGCTATGTGTGTCAGAAGGAAGGACGGCGGGGGCCAGAGACGGGGTTAAGGCATCTGCCTTGTCTCCAGCCAACCCAGTTCCATCCGTGGCACCACATCTGGCCCCCGGAACAGCTCCGGGCACAGCTGATCTGTGTTCTAAGACCACTGGTTTCCTACCCACCAATTTTCGCTGGTTGGTCCAAGGGTGTCTGCCTTGCATGCAGCCAGCCCGGCCAAGCCGGGTTCGATTCCTCTGTCCCTCTTGGAGAGCCCGGCAAGCTACTGAGAGTCTCTTGCCCACACTGCAAAGCCTGGCAAGCTCCCTGTGACGTATTCGATATGCCAAACATAGTAACAACAAATCTCAAAATGGAGACGTTACTGGGAGGACAGTGTTTGTGTTTGGTCCAAGTTTATACCAATTCTTTGTCTAAGAACCATCCTGGGCTTCAAGACATATTTGATGTCCAGTCCCAAGGGTGAAATTAAAAACGGCATCCCGCGAGCATTCATATGACAGCAGAAATCTGGTTTTCACAGTTTCAGAAACATATGTTTTCACATTCCAATCCTAGATCTGTCGGGCTTTTTCTGTTTTGTATGTTTGAATCTTATTTTTTTGATCTCTCTTCTGATGGGCACTAGTTCTCTGGACCTTCAAAACAAATTTCATTTACCAGATACAATGAAAATATGGGGCCACAGAGATAGCACAGCAGGGAAGGCGCTTGCTTTGTGCACCGTTCCTGACCTTGGTTCAGTCTCTGGACTCCACACATGAGTCCTGCCAGGAACGATCTCTTAATACTGAGCCAGGAGTAAGCCCTAAGCACCACTGGGTGTGGTCAGACGCCACCCGCCCCCCCACCACCTCCAAAAAAAAAAGAAGAAAAATATGTCAACATTTACCACTAGTAAGCAATGCTAACAGTACTATGTGAACAATGCTAGCAGTACTAACAGGTCCTCAAAGGCAAGATATGAATAACAGCGTGTGCATAGTAGACAGACAGACAGACAGAGAGACGATACATAATCTATGGAAAACATGTGCCTTCTTCATTCAATACATGGAATCACACCGTGTCATTTCATATCTTGTTCTTTCAACTCATCTCTCTACCTTTCCTATATAGGATTTTCTAAAACACTAAAAGATATGTTTTTGGGAACATAATATTTGATATAAATATTTTAAAATAAAACTAGCACTGTAGCACTGTCCTCCCATTGTCCATCGATTTGCTCGAGCGGGCCCAGTAACGTCTCCATTGTGAGACTTGTTGTTACTGTGTTTGGCATATCGAATACGTCGCGGGGAGCTTGGCGGGCTTTGCCGTGTGGGCGGGATACTCTCGGTAGCTTGCTGGGCTCTCCGAGAGGGGCGGAGGAATCGAACCTGGCTTGGCCAGGCCAGCGGCTTGCAAGTCAAACGCCCTACCGCTGTGCTATTGCTCCAGCCGAATCTCTTCTTTTTAAGCTGTTTTTGGGTCATACCACCGATGCTCAGGTTTCTTCCTCGCTCTCCCTCAGGAATTACTCCTGGTGGTGCTCGGGGGACCATATGGGATGCTTGGGATCGAGCCTGGGTCAGGCAAGGCAAATACCCTCCCAAAAGCAAATGGACTATATCGCTCAGGCCCCCAAATCTCTCACTCACCTTCAGACACTGCTGGTCTTCACATCAACCATCTACTTGCTAGACTGGTGACAAATGACCGTGATTTTCTAGAATAAATGCCAGTTGACTGAATTGCTGGATCAAAGACTGAAAATCCGACCAGGCAGTTGCCACTCAGGAGAGGGCGGCCCTGGAAAGGGCCAGTCACACCCGGGAGCGCTGACGGCTGGCTCTCCCACACCTTACCCGGGCGGGGGAGCAGCGTCTTTTTTCTAGAAGCTGCCCCAGCGCCTGGCTCCTGTTTGAATTCGCGTGCCTTTGATTCAATGAAGCCAGGCGTGCCCACTCTGGCTTTGCGACTTGCGGTCTTAATCTGTGGATTAGAGTTCCTGATCCTCTGTCTCTCCCGGCTGTCAATCCTGTCTCCTAATTGTGTCACTGGTGAGCTGACAGTTGGATCTGAAGCTCTGAAGTCACCTACCATTTCCTTCCTTAGCCGGGCCCAAAGGACGCTTGTCATGGTCCCATCAATTTGCAAAGCCCCTTCTCTCTCACGGGTGATGAATACCCTGCAGTCCGGGGCTGCAGACAGTAACAAATCCATTATCGGCGGCTCTACTGCCTTTATTTATGGCCTCTGCTCCCAGTAAGTGTGTGTCAGTACAAGTTCCTTTCTTTCTTCTCTTTTCTTTTTTGGTTTTGGGGGTCACACCCAGCGATGCTCAGGGGTTACTTCTGGCTCCGCACTCAGGAATTATTCCTGACATGCTCGGGGGACCATATGGGATGCTGGGGATCGAACCTGGGGTGGCCGCAAGCAAGGCAAACGCCCTATCCACTGACCAATCACTCACAATTTCTTTTTGTTATACCTTTTGAATTCCAATTTCTTTCCCCTGCTCCAAAGGTATTTCGTTTTACTGTCACTGTCACCGTCCTCCCGTGGTTCATCGATTTTCTCGAGCGGGCCCAGTAACGTCTCCATTGGAGACTTTGTTGTTACTGTGTTTGGCATATCGAATACGTCACGGGGAGCTTGCCAGGCTTTGCCGTGCGGGCGAGATACTCTCGGTAGCTTGCCGGGCTCTCCGAGAGGGGCGGAGGAATCGAACATGGGTCGGCCTTGTTGGCTGCGTGCAAGGCAAACGCCCTACCGCTGTGCTATCGCTCCAGCCCATTTTATTTTACATCTTGTATATTTTATACCTTTGGTATTTTACAACTGCGTTTTATATTTTTCAGTTTTGGGGCCACTCCTGGCAGTGCCCAGAGCTTCCTCTTGGCTCTGTGCTCGGGGGTTCACTCCTGGAGGGGGACCAAATAGGTTGCCAAGGATTGGACCCAGGCAATGGGTTTGCTACATTCAAGGCAAGCACCTTACCTGCTGTACCTATCTCTCCACCCCCCAAACTATAATACTTACAAGCACTCATAACCTGCGAGGCTAAAATAGTTTTTAATTTTTAAGCCCAGCTTTACTGTTTCAGCAGACACTGACGTCCCCAGCACCTGGTACTACTAACTTGCCCTGTGTTACGGAGATACTGAGATTTCCCCCTGTTTCTGCTCTGATCTGTTTCTTCCTGCTGTAAGACCACCCTGGTCTCTTTAATAACTTGCTACCTGGCAGGGCAAGTCTGCCTCTGTCTTCCTGCTCACGTGGCGTTAGCTCTGCCTGCCACTTATTCTGTAATACAAACGAACAGAGCATGGAATTCAATTCTAGAAACAAGCGCGCCATCCTCCCCGACTCT